CATCTCTCCCCCAGCCCTGGAACCTCATCTTCTGTGTTCTTTAGGTCACCCAGGCACCCATCCAGGGACTCATCCCACCCTCCTGTCTCATCCTTAACCCCTTGGTTATTCTGCTATAAGTCCTACTTCCTAAAAGAGTTTTTGATCCTGGCCCCCTCCCGCTCCATCCTCACTGCCACTGTAATATAGTCTGAATATTTGTCCCCGCCTAAATCTCATGTTGAAATGTGATTCCCAGTTTTGGAGGTGGGGCCTGGTGGGAGGTGATCGTATTGTGGGGATGGTTTCTCAGGAATGGTTTAGCACCATCCTCTTGGTACTGTCCTCGTGATAGTGAGTCCTCACAAGATCTGGTCATATAAAAGTGTGTGGCACCTCCCCGCCCCACCATGCTCTCTTTCTTGCTTCCATTCTCACCATGTGATGGGCCTGCTTCCCCTTTGCCTTCTGCCATGCTTAGAAGCTTCCTGAGCCACTCCCCTCCCCACACCAGAAACATATGCTGCTGTGCTTCCTGTATAGCCTGCAGAACCATGAGCCAATTAAACCTCTTTTCTTATAAATTACTTAGTCTCAGGTATTTCTCTAGGCAGCCTAGTACACACTGCCTCCAGTTAGGTTGTTATTGTCCCTCTCCCAAGTTCTGCTGCAGGCTGACCAACTTGCCAGCACCACTGTCCTCCAAGTAGCAACTCTGCCATCCAGGCTGAAGGAGGCTCTGCCATCTTGTAGCTACTGGTACTGGTACACATGGTCTCCTTGGTTCCTGCAGGGAAAGTGAATGCTGGCACATCTTGCACCAATGAGGGACACAACCCACTGGAAGAACTAACCGCATGCCTCCATCTAGCTGCAAGGGGTGAGGGGCGTAGGGAAGGGTGACCCTCCTATGTCGCAGTCTGGAAGGAGGGAACAACTGAATATGGATGAATACCAGAAACCTCTACCAATCATTCTCCTGCGTTGCTTTATCTCCTCTAGCCCTTATCGGATGTACCGTGCATTTGTCTGTTTAAATACTTCTGTCCTACTTCCCCCAACCCATAGAGAATCTAAGCTTTTTGAGGGCAGATAATTCATTTTGTTTATTGCATTGCTGCATTTCCAGTACCCACAACAGGGTCTGGCACTTAGTCATCACTCAATAAATATTTGATGAATGGCTTATTAATAAAATGAAAAAATAAATGGCCTGGGCTGTGTTTACTGGGGCAAAGGTAGGGCCAATGTTGAAGGAGGAGCCTGGAAAGTAAGAAGGGGTCATATCACAAAAGGCATTATGAGCCATATAAAGGAGATTTCATTTTATCCTATAGAGGACAGACAGCCAGGCATGGTGGCGCACACCTGTAATCCCAGCACTTTGGGAGGCCGATGTGGGCGAATCACTTGAACCCAGGAGTTCAAGACCAGCCTGGGCAACATGGCAAAACCTTGTCTCTACAGAAAACTAGCTGGGTATGATGGCCACCTGTAGTCCCAGCTACTTGGGGGACAGGTGGGCGGATAGCTTAAACCTGGGAGATCGAGGCTGCAGTGAGCCATGTTTACACCACTGCACTGCAGCCTGGGGGACAGAGACCGACCCTGTCTCAAAAAGAAAAAAACTGCAGAGAACCATCGTAGGGATCTTAAAAGGGAAGTGACATGTTCTGGAAGATCACTTAGGAGGCAGGTTGGACGGTGGATTGGAGGGAACCACTGGAGGCAGGGAGACCAGCAGGAAGACAACGGCTGCTGGTTTAGAGCTGGATGGTGGAATTTGTGAAGCAGGAGCAACAAGACTTGCTGAGAGATTAAATACGGGGTTTGTGAGGAGTCAGGATGACTTTAAAGGGTTTGGCATGGGTTACTAGAAGGCTACAAGGATGGAGTTCCATTTACTCCTCCCCAAGTAAGAAGGACTGAGGAGTAGAGAAGACCTGGGGGAAGTCACATAATGAAGAATTGTTTGGGACGTGTGAACTTTGACATCGCTAATCACATGCCCAGACCTTGCTAAACTGCATGCAACTCCCCGCATAGATGTTTTTCCTTATCATTGGAATTTTTCACTGTCCCCTGACCCTGGAATAGCATTCTCTCTCTCTGTTAACTACTCCTAGCTCTGACCTCAGAAAACAAATCAGAAAGAAAAGAAGCCCAAGAAGATGGGGCATTCTTTCTAGTTCCCACCTCCCTTGATGGCACTGAAGTGTACCTGCCCTCACTCCCAGGTGGGTGTAGAGACCTCCAGAGCTGGAGGAGAGGAGTCAGCTGGGTCCCTTGCAGGCCAGGAGCAATGGACGGATGACTGCTTGGATGGTGGACAGCTTCCTTGGACAGCAGGACCAAGGTAGGTACTCTGTTCAAAGGCAGTCATTGCAGCCAACTCTTGTTAGCATATTACTTGTGAAATGCTTCTCTGCCTCACATGGCTTCTGCCTCTCTGCCTTCGCTGGGTTCTTGTCCCCAGCCTTGGCCTAATAAGAGTGCTCCTGCCAATCTTATTCTTATCCTGGCCCAGTTCCTCATGCCTGATATTCCTCCTGTACACCAGCCTTTTCCAGCGTTGTATAGGATTGAAAGTGATACCTCCTGTGCCATCACTCAACACGAGACAGAAGCCCAGCAGCCCTGCTGCCATGTCCTTCTGGGTGAGGGAAGAATGCCAGCTAATTTGATCCAGTCCCTGGGAAATCTTCTCTGGCCCCATCGGAAATAATGTGCTGGGAAACAGTCCAAGGCCACTGTCCAGCTACAGCCTGACTCCAGCAGTGTGGGTAGGGATGTAGTTAGGTGCACAGTTAGCTGCTCTCCTGCTCCCAACTTCTGCGCTGGGAGGTGATTGAATGTCGCCTCATGCATTAACCATGCACGGGAGAGAGCTGTGACAGCTTCATTACCCACCCGCCCTCCTATAGCCCCCATCCCTCCATCACAGGCCATCTGGATTGACACCTTGATTGATTACCAAGGGCTCCATTGCGTCTGCTGCAGTGTCACCTGACAGAACGGGGAGGGGTTGTGTTGTACCTGACCTGTCGGTCTCTGCTGGGTGTCCCCTCTGGTGGTGCATGGGCACATCATGCTGGCATATTCAGTGGAACCCACATTTTATGGACGGATGTCTCCTGCTATGACAGCATCTGCCAACCCACAAACCTACTCCAAATCCTATAGAAGGGGCTTTGGCAAAAAGAATTCAAATTCAGCAGTTTTGATAAACCCCCAGAGAAAAGCATCCCTGGGCTGTTTCCAAGGATGGTAAATACCCACATCAACTGGTAAATTATAAAACTCAGCCACAAAATAAAGAGCTGATGGTTTGCAGAGAAATTGGCACAGTTGGGAAAGAAAGAATACTGCCAATGATACAGCCTCCTCTTTCCAAGTGTTGGTGGTAAAGAAGAAATGACAAGCTGCTGCATCTAAAGCCTTTAGAGGGAGAAGAAAAGAATTTGTCGTCTTGAATTTTGGTATAGAGGGCAGTAGCCTTAAGTTTAGCAGGAGAGGAGGAAGAGGAGGGAGGCTAATGTTTGTAGAGTTCGTGTTTTGTGTACAGGACCTCATCAAATCTTTGCCACAGCCTCACGAAGCAGGTATTTCTGCACTCATTTGTCAGGTGAGGTAGTAAGCTCAGAGGTGATGTCATTTGCCAACGGCCTCACAGCTTGCATAGGGCAAACCCAAGTTGTCTAATTCTGAAATCTGACCTCTGTCTACTGTTATTACATGTCCACCCTCCCCCAAGCACATTTCAGGAAAGTGGGAAACCCAAGCCTTGCTTGAAAGGATCTTGACACATTTAAATAAAATCAGAACAAGAAACTTGAGAACAAGCGTCATTGAATAAAATTAGTTTGAATGATCTATACTGATCTATACTTACTTAAGGGCCCCATGGGGCATTTTATACATTCACATATACTTGCATACACTTGAACAGAGATTCTTGAACAAAGATCTGTTGTGCAGATGAGGAAAACCAAATTCCAAAGAGATGCTCACAAACGGTAAGGGAAAGAACGAGATTTTTTTTTTTTTTTTTTTTTACTATGTAGATGTGTTTGTGTTCTGGTGGCATGCAAAGTCCTTCTTTGGCATGTGAATATTAGTTATCAAAATGCACCTTCTTATAAAACAGTCAGATGGCTTCTGCCCTAGTGGCCTTTGTTCCTAGTTCACATTCTTCTGTCACAGAAGCTGGCATGCTGTACAATCCTGAGGAACTAGTTATACACAATTATGCTTGTTTCAGAATAGTGGGGGGAAATTGGAAAAACAATGTCACATTTGGGGAATTAAATGCCCATATAATCCATTACTTTTATTAAAAATATTTCTGAGCATTTATCATTCTTAGTTTTAAATAATATGGAATATACACTTGCCACATGCTAGAATCTGGGCTGGATGCTTTTTATATACATTGATTTAATCTTTACAACAACAGTACAAAACAAATGGTATAATTCCTAGTGCTACAGGAAACTGAGGCTCGGTAAGTGTAAGTAACTTGCCTCAAACTGCACAACTGGAAAGTTCCAGGGCCATCACTTGAACCACATCCGTTGATGTTGGACTAAGGGAATACACGTTAGCACCTTATTAAGCCGGTTGACTTGCCTTGGGTGAGTTGTAATGTCTATGAACTGCCTCATGTCTATCACAGGACAATTACAACTAGTCAATGAAACGCACTGGGACTTTATGAGGATTAAACGTGAGACCATGTGGAATCACATGAACACTGAAGTTACACACAGCTCAGGACTCCTGAGCATGTGCCTGAAGAGGCATACAACTACGCTCATTGGAGCATTGTTTTGTAACCGTGAAAAATTTGAAGCAACCGAAACGTCCATCAGCAAGAGAATGAAGAAAGAAATCACGATGGCTGGGCACGGTGGCATGTGCCTATAATCCCAGCACTTTGGGAGGCTGAGGCGGGCAGATCACTTTGAGTCAGGAGTTCCAGACCAGTCTGGCCAAGATGGTAAAACCCCATCTCGAGTTCGATCGGTAGCGGGAGCTGAGAGCAGACCAGAGAGCCCTGCGCAACCCCACCGCCTCCGCCGGCCTAATTACCATCACACCCCGGGAGGAGCCGCAGCTGCCGCAGCCGGCCCCAGTCACCATCATTTCAACCATGAGCAGCGAGGCTGAGACCCAGCAGCCGCCCGCCGCCCACGCCCTCAGCGCCGCCGACACCAAGCCCGGCACCACGGGCAGTGGTGCAGGGAGCGGTGTCCGGGGTGGCCTCACATAGGCGGCGCCTACTGGCGGGGACAAGAAGGTCATCGCAACGAAGGTTGTGGGAACAGTAAAATGGTTCCATATAAGGAACGGATATAGTTTCACCAACAGGAATGCACCAAGGAAGATGTATTTGTACCCCAGACTGCCGTAAAGAATAACCCCCCAGGAAGTACCTTCGCAGTGTAGGAGATGGAGAAACTGTGGAGTTTGATGTTGTTGAAGGAGAAAAGGGTGCGGAGGCAGCACCCGTTACAGGTCCTGGTGGTGTTCCAGTTCAAGGCAGTACATATGGAGCAGACTGTAACCATTATAGACGCTGTCCACGTCGTAGGGGTCCTCCACACAATTACCAGCAAAATTACCAGAATCGAGTGGGGAAGAGAACGAGGGATCAGAGAGTGCTCCCGAAGGCCAGGCCCAACAACACCGGCCCTACCACAGGCAAAGGTTCCCACCTGACTCCATGCGGAGACCCTATGGGCGTCCACCACAGTATTCCAACCTTCCCATGCAGGGAGGAGTGATGGAGGCTGCTGACAACCAGGGTGCAGGAGAACAAGATAGACTAGTGAGGCAGAGTATGTATCGGGGATATAGACCACCGTTCCGCAGGGGCTCTCCTCGCCAAAGACAGCCTAGAGAGGACGGCAATGAAGAGGATAAAGAAAATCAAGGAGGTGACACCCAAGGTCAGCAGTCACCTCAACGTCGGTACCTCCGCAACTTCAATTACCGACACAGACGCCCAGAAAACCCTAAACCACAAGATGGCAAAGAGACAAAAGCAGCCCATCCACCAGCCAAGAATTCGTCTGCTCCCGAGGCTGAGCAGGGAGGGCTAAATGCCGGCTTCCCATCTCTACCATTATACAGTTTAGTCATCCAACAAGAAGAAATATGAAATTCCAGCAATAAGAAATAAACAAAAGATTGGAGCCGAAGACCTTAAGTGCTTGCTTTTTGCCTGTTGACCAGATAAATAGAACTATCTGCATTATCTATGCAGCATTAGGTTATTAATTTTACCTAAAGATATCTCTTTTTGGTAATAACAAACGTGTTTTTTTGTTTTTAAAGCCTGGTTTTTCTCAATACGTCTTTAAAGGTTTTTAAATTGTTTCATAGCTGGTCAAGTTGAGATTTTTAAGAACTTCGTTTTTAATTTTTAATAAAAGTTCACAACTTGATTTTTTCAAAGAAGTCAGCAAACTCCAAGCACCTGTTAATAAAGGTCTTAATGTTTAAAAACCCATCTCTACTTAAAAAAAAAAAAATCATGATTCATTCATGCAATGGAATATTATGCAGCAGATAAAATGAACTAGATCTTACAAGTATCAATATGCATAAATCTTGAATACAAAATGCTGAGAGAAAAAGTTGTAGAATGTGTAAAGTATTTGTATTAGTCTGTTCTCACACTGCTGTGAAGAAATACCCAAGACTGGGTAATTTATAAGGAAAAGAGGTTTAATTGACTCACAGTTCCACATGGCTGAGGAGGACTCAGGAAACTTTTTACAATCATGGCGGAAAGCACTTCTTCTCAGGGCAGCAGGCGAGAGAATGAGTGTCAAGGAGGCCGGGGGGAGGGAAGCCCCTTATAAAACCATCAGATCTCCCGAGAACTCACTCACTATCACGAGAACAGCATGGGGGAAACAACCCCCATGATCCAATTACCTCCACCTGTACCACCCTTGACATGTGCAGATCATTACAATTCAAGGTGAGATCTGGGTGGGAACATAGCCAAATCTTATCAGTATTGATGTAAATTTTAAGCACACAAAAATACTATGAATTGTTTATTGAATATACACATACCAATAAAAGTCCTAAACTCAGATGAAAAATGTACACACCGAGTTAGAATAATCCATACCTCTGAGGAGGAGGAGGAAGGGGAATGGAATCAGGGAAGAATACAAAGGACACTACAACGGTCGCAATAATTTTTTAAATCTAAAACGAATATGGTAAATGTTAACATTTGTTCAATCTAGGTGGTGGGTAGCTGGGTGTTGTGTTTTTTTGTATATGTTTAAAATAGTTCATCATTAGAGAAAAGCATCAAGTGGTAAGCAACTGTGAAACATCATTATTATAGCTATTCTTTATTGTTACTGTCACTGCCATCCAGGGACCCAGGTGACAGTGCTAACCTGGAGATAGGGACACTCATGTGGGCAAAGCTGCCTGATTTACACTCAGGGCTTTTGTAAGGATTAAATGAGAGAATATCTGCAAAGGTCTTGAGCTGTGTTTGCTTCCTTCCTCTATCCCTGCCTTAATAACTAAATTAATCCCAATAGAGACCACAGGAATTATCTGTGAAAGAAACCATCCCAATACCCAACTAAATGAAATATTTCAATTATCTTAAATGAGATGATGGGTGCACCTGTCCCATATGTGATGTCCAATAGCGACAATTAGCCGGGTATGGTGGCTCACGCCTTTAATCCCAGCACTTTGAGAGGCCGAGGCAGGTGTATCACTTGAGGTCAGGAGTTTGAGACCAGCCTGGCCAACACGGTGAAACCCCAACTCTAACCAAGTATAAAAATTAGCCAGGCACGGTGACACGTGCCTGTAATCCCAGCTACTCAGGAGGCTGAGGCAGGAGAATTGCTTGAACCTGGGAGGCAGAGGTTGCAGTGAGCCGAGATGGCGCCACTGCACTCCAGCCTGGGCAACACAGTAAGACTCTGTCTCAAAAAAAAAAAAAAAAAAAAAAAAAAAGTGACAACTATTGTTCTTCCAGGGAATTAGGCTGGGCCTAAAAGAGGCATGCCATTGGCTGGGTAAAAGGCAGGTCAACTGGAACCTTATCTCACGCACTTAGCTGGCTCTCAACTTCAAGACTCTGAGGCCTCCTTGCTGTACTGGGGATGTAAGAAGAGCAAGCAGAAGATGGTTTGAGGGACTTCATGCCCCTGATTGTTTTAAATCCTCACCTTCAATTCAATGTTTTCAAAAATTCCTTTTGCACCAGCCTGATATTTTAGTTAATATGAGCAATGACCATGAAGCTGCTGGCAAGTCTGAGGCCATACTGGGGATTTCAGCACAGTGATGGAAGGTAGACAGCTCAGTTATCTGTGGTGATGAAAGACCAGGAGGGGAGGGGCACAGAGATCTCCAGAGGCAGAACTTTCAGAGAACAGCAGGTAGGATCTGAAGGAAGTGTGAAAGGAGGGCTTGCCAGAGGAGTGGATACATGGAGGCAGAACCTGGAGGCATTCTGAATACTACCCCTCCTGCATGCCATATACTGGTCAGATATATTGCCAGCTGAATAATTCCTCTAGCGCCACTGGGTTAGGGTCTCCCCGACCTAGTTGGTCTCAGTTCCTTCCTTCCTTCCTTCCTTCCTTCCTTCCTTCCTTCCTTCGTTCGTTCCTTCCTTCGTTCCTTCCTTCCTTCCTTCCCTCTCTCCCTCCCTCCCTCCTTCCTTCCTTCTTTCCTTCCTTTTTTCTTTCTTTTTTGATAGATGAGTATTGTCCAATAGAACTCTCTGTGATGATGGAACTATTTTCTTTACATGGTCCAATACGGTGGCCACTAACCACATACAGCTCTTCAGCACTTGAAATGTGGCTTGTGAGACTGGGAAACTGAATTTTTGCCTAATTTTAATTAATTGGCATTTAAAACATAAACAGCCACATGTAACTACTGGCTCCTGGATTAGATGGCACAGGAGAGGAAACTGACCTAAAAGTTTGATGGAAGGAAAAAGGTTGGGAAAATTCTGGAACATAAACCACTGTCTATAGGGGGTCAGCCTTGATCAGGCACCATCCTGAGGGCTTCCAAAGCAGCTCTGGGCATCTGAGGCCAGGAGGGGAAATTCCAAAGGAAGGAAAGTGACTAAGAAGCGTGACAGCCTCGCCAGCCCAGGTTTGTCCAGAAACAACCCTCTTCATTAAGCATCTGGAATTGACCAGGCAGATATGGTTCCACGGTATGGAACTGACCTCCAAACTCTGTGCAAGCTCTGGGAGGCACATTGCTGTGCAGGAAGCAATGTGACATGACAGTGAGCATTCTTCAATGTCAGGCCCATTCTGTCTATATCATGCGGTCCCACAAGCTGGGAGAATTGCTGCTCACTCCGTTGTTTCCCTTGGTCACTGCATGTACCTCTCAGAGAGCACCCACTCTGTGATTTCAACCCCTTCCTTCCTTCCTTCCTTCCTTCCTTCCTTCCTTCCTTCCTTCCTTCCTTCCTTCCTTCCTTCCTCCCTTCCTTCCTT